ATAATAAAGAGTTAAAATATCCTTAACAAAAGGAAGCTTTAAGATTAAATGTTCTTAAATTTAACCTTATTTCTTTTGTTAAATGGTTTCATAATACATGTAAAAGGTTCTTTTAGGAAAATGTTGCTTTAATGAATATTCCTTTAAGGAATGATTAATGAAATCAATCTATTAGAGAGGATCCTTAAGTGTTAAAAAATATCACAATTCGTTACGATTCTCTTCAAGAAAAATGGATTATGTAGTATTATTATTTCCATTAGCAACGCATCGAAATGGGACTGAACATACGCTATACATACGCCCGTTTAGAATTCAAAATCCCCGGCTAAACCGACAGGTTTCGACATTGCCGGTTATACAGTTATGTAAAAATGGGAGTCGCCTGCGAGTCGTTTATAATTTATTATCCTTCAAAGGACCATATGCAGAATCGCGAAAATTCTTCGACTCGATTAAACGCTAAACCCGAAGCGTTGAAAAAGTTTTAACGGTAAGTTTATGTGACTTCGGCGAACACGCCTTATCGAATCGAATTTCGATTTAATGAGCTATCGGATTCGATTAATCGATATGTCACCGTGTAGGTGATTCGAAACGAAATATTTAATAATAATTGTATTATTTAGTGAGCTAAGTTTTAGCCAATTTATAAAGTTGTGCCACAATATTTCCCCTAAGATTTTTGCAACATTGCAAATGAGTTTAAAGAAAACAAAGAACAATAATTGCTATGGTAGGAATGATAAATCAGATATTGTTCAGTCGAGCCGATGTAAAATAAATATCCATAATACTAATTAAAATAAAAATCTCCTCTATCCTCGAGCGGAACACTGAAACTATTATTACAGCTCCGCCATTGATTTATTATATCGCATTTAATAAAAATAGATGGGTGATACGTGTATCTGATGTATCTGTGTACAAGCATCTAAACTCTTTCCATCAATTTGGCCGAGAAATTCCTAATGGTCGAGAACTAGTTGTCAGAGATCACGATCCGTGCGGTTCGATCTCAGAATTTCGTGCGTGCCAGAAAACTGACCCGAATTATTGTTGTTTATTGTCTACTATCTTTTGGGAGCGATCGAAAAATCGTCCCGTGATTAATTAACTAAATTTTTCGGGTGGTTCCACACTGGGTCAAATCGGTGCGATGAGCCGTTACGGACGTTTGACCCCAGTCACGGCCATTTTTTATTTCGATATCTCGAAGGGTTTCGTGTTTTGAACCGGTTCTAATTGAGCTGGGTTATTCGATTGTATTGGATGTTTTAACCAAGCATAAAAGTTCCAATTTGGGGCTCTACACTACGCTCTACATTATAGGCTGTTTTGACAGATATAAAACGTTATACACTGCACAAATGTGTCAAAATTGGACAATAGTAGGTTACTACAAACTTTAAAATTTTCGAAAACCCAGTCTAATTCATCATTTGCTTGTTTATTTCCTAATGATGATTGCCTAATGGCCGGAATTACGTCGGATTTTGGGTGAAATTGCGTCCTGCATGTGGGAAAAGAGAAAAATTCGTATAACTATACGTAATTTAATTTATTCGCCGTTCTAAAAATTTAATTTATGTGAATTTGAATTCAATTAAATTACATAATAAATTAGTTCCTTCCATATTTGTTTTTAATGACGTATTAATTCCGTTAGAAGATAGTCTTTCGATTAACAGTTACAATAACGTAAAAAAAATCCATAAAATTACCTGATATGGGTGTTGGTTTTCGAAATGAATTTATTGTTTCCAAGATTCAACTTGAATTTGCCCATTTTAGGTAAACAAATCCTGTATTAAAGTAAATATACTGCTCCTCAAAAGTTAAGGAAGTTCACAAATATTGAGATTAATTTAAAAGTTGCAGGTTTTTTGATCGCCAAATTTAGTAATGAGTTGTAGAGGTAGATACAAAAAATCCACTCAGATATGAGAGAATACATTTAATTTCGCATATTTGAAAATTTGGTAATCAAAAAGTCTGTAACTTTTAAAATAATCGCAAAATTTGCGAACTTCCTTAACTTTTGTGGAGCAGTTTATAAAGTGTAATTAGAGAATGCAAGCTTCTGAATAAATTGTAGTATAAACATACTCCCTATTTTGTCATATACCAGGGTATACATCAAAATAGTTCCTGTTGAGTAGAGAATAGAGTGATGGTATTTGAGATATTTTAAATTTCCTATTTTTGAGAGATTTTCATCTAGGATTCTTAACACATTGACATTGCTGTATAATATACAACTGTTTTGACTCCTCGGCAACAAAAATGCATCCGAAACCCGTTATAAGACTGCAACTTCACGTAAAATTTTATTGTGCATTATCACATAAAATTCCTGCTGCCCGCGTACAATGCATACACTCTAACAGCAAATAGTGTGCGCGTAAAATATTTTTTAAACGTCATCATTATCTTCAGGAATGACCCTTTCTCCGGTTTTTTTTTCGATTATTTTCTTTGACGATCGTACAGCGTTTAACGTCTCTATGGAAAAATTCCCATACGGTACTATCCGGCGACCTCGACGGCGGTTTTATATAAATTCCGAAATCGCCTGATAATGCGCGGTTAAAATTTCCGATACAACCTATAAAATCGGTACCGCAACGGTACATAGCACACAAACGCATAAGTCCGTCCGACTTTTACGCCATTTTACTTTCGCGATAATTTATTCTCCCGGCGAAATTAACATGTTCGAAAGGCTTGAAATGCATACAAATTAAACGTTATATACTCGTATGGCGTGCGTGTGTGTTTCCTGTCTATGCGTACCGAAACAAACTATCGTTGTGTAAAGTACCTGTAAGAGGATGAGGAGGAAGAAGAAGAAAGGTACCCGGTTTGCCGACCGGTCGGGCGCACATTTCTCTCCATTGTAAAGCGAAATCCGATAAATAGAACAAATACTACCAGATGAATAAAGATTAGATACTAAAGTTAACAAACGGTAGATCAGTATGGGAAGATAAATTGTGGAAGAAATGAGTACTAAACAGATACACTACCATTCTAAAGTACACCATTTTTGAACTGAACTTAGTTCAGTTTTCAATTAAACTTAGATTGAATCATTAGCTTTGTAATACTTCCAAAAACTGTGTAAAAAGTAGCATAAAACTTCTCCGACAATAATAACATGTCTATAAACAACATACTATAAGAACGATAATAAAAGTATTATCTATAGAGACTTAAAGAAGAAATTATTAAAAATGTTACCGATATTGAATTAAACTGAGCTTGAATCTGCTTTGCAATACTTATGTAAACAGATGCGTAACAAATTACTATGAAAGACTTTTTTTGGTAACAATTACTTGTCTAATCACCTAATAGAAGATAATAAAAGGATAACCCATAGAGACTAAGAAAAGACTATAAAAGAAATTTAGAACCATATAAAAGATCAGACCATGAAAGAAGAAATTATCACAATGTAACAAATATTGAATAAAACTGAGCTTGAATCAGCTTTGTAATACTTCTACAAACGTTGTTAAGTTTTTCTCTAGCAATACTAGCTTGCCTAATAATCTAATACAAGACGTTAAGTAACTCCTTTGAAGCCTATAAAAAGAAGAAATTATTTCATCATAACCAATTTTGGACAAAGCAGAGCTTGAGCCAGCTATGCAAATCTATACTGTTAACCGTGCATAAAGCAATTTCGCGAAGACTTCAACTCGAACACGAAGGCGCAATTTTCGATGGCAGGGCAATAATTTCGAAGTTCCCGGCCCGGGGACGCGGGATTTTCGATACATTTTTCACGATCCGCTCGGCGTGCGACCGGAGCCGAAATTTGCTAAAAAGTCTCGTCTTGTATTTTAAACGCAGACTTTGCGGAGGTCAACGATCCGCATTTCACATGTTGAGGTGCTCCGAAAGGAAGTGGATATCTGATGGGTAGCGCGATAATCGTAATAAATTGGTTTGGAAACAATGTACAGTACTTACCGAATAGGCGTTAATGATAATGAAGGATTTACACATGCGAGGTTTTTCTAAGAGAGTCGCTTTGTTTAAAGTGCGTTTTCGCCTTGCATGCCGCTCCGGTTTTTTCGAGCTACTACCGTTCTTTTTCGATTAGTCGCGCTCGTACGAAAACAAGAGTAGAAATTTAATTACTTTAAAAAAAACGAGTCTTCAGTGAGATGTTAATAGACTGTAATGAAGCGTAGTCAAATATCCCGAAACGGCTTATCTACTCTACAGAAGTTTGATTTTCCGCGCTATTGAACAAAAATCGACGAACCATTCACCGTAAAAGAAACAGTCCTAAGTTAGTTAATTAGCCATCACGAAAACATACACATAAAAAATACTGTTATAAATTGTTGTAATCAAATCTGACATTATAAACATGTAGGTATTAGCAATTTTGATATAATAGCCTTGTGGCAAATATTTACTTTATAGGCTGCTTATTAACCACGCATGAAAATTGCTCCTGCAATTTCTATCTACTTTAATTTAGCATTTATAGACAGGCAAAAATCCATACTAAACTAATAGTGCAATCGCCATCAAGGGGTAGAACATTCCTGAAGTAGTAAATAGTAGGCGCGCCAATAAATAAATAAAAAGTAGGCTCTATTTAATTACTAATATCATAAATAACTAACAATTACCTGTAATATACAGGGTATCGATTCAGATATGAATGTTTAATTTTATTGTAAGTAATTTTTGCTTTTATTATATTCTTTTATTGTACCTATTTCAAGTCGCTTTATATGGGTTTAAAAAAGGGTGGCCTATTGTTAAATATCCTGTATACAGAGTGGCACAACTAAAATTCTTTAAGAGTATGATTCTATGATTTTTCCATCGAGTCAATCATGTCTTTTGCATACAAAATTAGATTTATTACTATCTCCTGCTGGCGAACGGAGTACAGATTTTTTATGATATTACATAATTCAACGCGCCTTGTAATATGCTCAATATACTTATATAATTTTTTCCAATTTTAGTGTCGCCGAAAGTGAAATGTACGCCGAACCAAATGCGAGTGGAGATACCGATCTCGCCGAACACGATGGCCGTGTACGTTCAAGGATTGCGAGATTATCCTGATCCTGCATGCAGGCCGCACACCGACCCATCGGGCTCCTTGGCCGTCATCGAGCTCGATTTGAGGGACGTCTATCGGTGCGCAGTCACCAGGGTAATCAACAAGCAAACGGTACGTTCTTACGAACTTCTTCTACGGGTTCTCCTTCTATGGATCTTCTATGGATTCATTTTTGGGAAAGCCGGAAATCCGCAGCGATTTTACCTGAATTTTAATCCGATGCCGAAGGTCCCCAACAAAAATTTTGTTCACTGAGTACTGCACTAATCCCACGCAGGAATTACACAAACCACTCTTACCTAGTCTTTACAATCGAGTCTCTCTACACTCTACTCCAAATATCCCAGTTTGTAGAAATCAATTTCTAGTTTTCAGTTACTAGATTGGTTATTTTATTTTATTGGTTGGGCATTCTGGTGAAGGGTTAAGGAAGAAAGAAGTGTAGAAATGGTGGAGAAATCTGGTGCACGGTATTTTTTCGTTAGCTATTAAATAGAAGAGAATTTTACATAATCGCATTGGGTGAGCGCAATCGACACGTAATTCGCCTAATGTATTATTAACGGCATTGCTCGGGCGATAGAGTACGTGTTTATACCGGTACTTTATAAATCAATTAAGCAATAGGTTTTTTCGATCGGATGTCGATCCGATGCGAGGTGATTATGGGCCGTATCTCGACTGAAAAAAAGATATTTTCGATTTCAATTTAGAATTACGATGTGTTGATTTCAAAAAAATGAATTAATGGTAACATCGACATAAAGGCCTGTTCTTTAACTACTCATAAAGAGTTTCGATAAGTATCAGGTAGCAGTTTTACCATTTATTTTCTCAAAAAATTAACTACTTCGTAAAGCAAGTATCGAACGAATGAGTTGTAAAATGGAATTTTCTTGGGTTTTTTTAGGGTAAACAAATTTACTACAACAGCTTGGTCATCGAAAACGTCGAGCCTAATGGGCAAACAATCAACGAAACTTTGCACGTGAAGTGTTCAATATACTCGATCAAAAACCACACTTTATCCAAGAGGAACGTGTTACCTGCTGGCTTCCAAGAACCCGAGTAAGTACTTACTTTTATACTTAATTCTCTTCCTAAGAGTACTATTCATCCATTAAAGAATGTTAATTTTTACCTAAGAGAGCCATTTTCTTCCTGATTATCTCTATCCAAAAAGAAGACTTTTATAAGCATGAGAATCTATTGAAATGAGTCATGTAAGCGAGTTAAATATCCACCTTTTAGATGTTGATTTTTTAATATCTGCTAGGAAATAAAAAAAATTATTGAATTAGTCAGATGGTTATTTTTGGTTGTTTTTTTCAACAGGGAAATCGAAATTTTAACGACGAACGAGACGATCGGAAGAGCCCCGGAGCCCATCCTGGGCGTAGGCGTCAGGCAGGCGGGCAAATTAGTCACCGGCGAGCTGAACGTATCGCCCGGCACTCCGCTCCAAATGGAGATTTTCCTCGATAAAATCTCCGCGCCCATTTACGGACTTTTGGTCACCCACATGCAAGTCACCGACACCAAAACCCAAGAGGAGACCATCATCTACAACGGGTAGACCCCCATTTCCTCCGCGGCTTTTAATTTATCCTAAAATCGTTCGAATTCCAGTTGCTCGGTGGATCCGTACCTCTTCGAAAACTTCAAAACCGAAGACGGCGACTTCTTATCGGCCAAGTTCAGAGCCTTCAAGTTCCCGGAATCCACCTACGTGCAATTCAAAGGCACCGTCAACGTTTGCTTGGACAAATGCAAGGGGGTAAGAAGCATTTTTCTTCTTCTTTATTTTCATCTAAAGTTTCTACAGCAACACCTGCAACACTTCATATTCTAAAAGCCTTGTTAGTGGATGAATCATTGGTCATTCCACTACTTGTAACAAGATGATTAATTGCATTTTAGATAAGAAAACTGATGATAATTTTTGCTTCAGATCGAATGCAGCGACGGTCAAATAGGCTACGGAAGAAGGAAGAGAGCCATCGCGGAGCTACCGCCTGATCCCAACAAGATATTCGAAATCACCATAACTTCTTTCATCAAAGTAGGATCCGAATACACTGCTGTAGACACTAACAGCGAGAAGATATACAACAACAAGAAGTTCATAGTGGGCAATCAGATGACTGAACGGGACGTTATTAGAGGTATTTAGAGAGGTATTTAGCATCAGTTTTTTGAATTTGTTGGTACTTCTGTTCCAGATAAAACGTTATTTCAAGCGGACCCCGTCCAAGAGGTGCTGAGGGAGCTGAAGGAGGAGGAGAAGTACACGTCGATAGTGGCGGAGAGCGGCGGTTCGCGGGCGGTACCGGCGGCGGCGGTGGTACTGGCGGTACTCCTCTACTCGATTTTGTAAATTAAGGCGTCGGTGCAGGCTCAAGAAACGTGTAATGTTAATTTGTAAATACGTCTGTGATAAAATTGAGTAAGGAATGAATGTGATCTGCACGTCGGACTATTGTAACGTTACAATTTAATTTTCGTTTTATCTTTTCGCGTCGTTATTGTATTTTATGGGCCGATCTAATTTATTCGAAGCCGATTTGACTTAATAGGGAGTAATTTTATCGAATATTTTACGAATTTGAATTCTCGTTACCATGAAAACGCGATCATCTCCGAGCGATTGGTTATCAATCAATGTCGATAAAATTGTATCTTGCCGTACTTAACAGATTCTAATTGGCGATTAATGATTAATTATTTTAAATGTTACGCATCAATGAGAAACAAATAAACAGAATGTTACTAATAATTTATATGTAAGTTTAAACGCTGATTTCTTTTATTACCTTAATATGGTTTTTCAAATATTTATTCGTAAGACGAATCTAACTAGTCTTCTTAAGTACTCACCATAATCAATAAATAAAATTTAGCGAATTAAATTATTGGGTATGTTTTATTTTTCCACCTAATCAACCCCCACAAATGCTTGAGACAAAACTTCAGCAATACTTCTTAATCTTGGATACTTTAGAAATTCTTGTTCTCCTCTGTTACTTCATCAATACTCCTTCTTTGATACAACAGGAGTACTTCTTCTTCTCCTTTGATACTCAGCGATACTTCTTCCTCTTCTTTTATACTTAAGCAATACTTATTCATTGATCCTTTAGCAATACTTCCCCTTCATTGATACTTCAACAATACTTCTTCTTTGGTACTACAGAAGTACTTTTTCTTCTCCTTTGAAACTTCAAATAACCATAAAAATGGTAAATGGTTAGAGAAATTTTAACAATATCTAATTCTCTCTGGAAATCCATTCACTTATTTATTTCTACTACCAAATTATGACATTTTCCTCCAATTTCTCATTGATCCCTACATTTAATTTCATTTTCCCTGCAAACATCAAAAAATCCCATGCACATATTTATTCGATTTCACAGCGCAGTTTGGTCAACTTCCTGCATATACTTGTTGCACAATTAATTCTCCACGCATTCCGGTTGTTTGCCAGTCGATTTTCCGTCTGGATCGGACCATTTTCCGGGCGCATGTGTCTGTCATCGATCGCAGCGCCGCCGCGAAAAACGACGAAGAAAACAAAACAGTGCGCTCTATCGAATGGAGAGAAATTTGCCCAGCGAAATTCGATTTCGGCAAATGGAAAAGATGTGATTGATCAGTGAGCAGGCCCATATACCAACCGTGTAAATAGATACAATTAAGACTGAACATTTGTACAAAGTAAGTACTCCTTGTTGTTATTGCACAATGTCGGGCCATTAGACTGTTAAAGCCGCGATTGCGATAGGAAAATCCGTCGTGGGTTAGATAATTGATTAATTAATGGTGAACCGTCGAAAGTATTATTGGGATGTATCGAATTCGCTGAATAACGGAGGGTTTCATGAAGGGGTGTCGTGGACGAGTAGGGTAAAAAAAATCAATAACGAATAAACATAGACGATGAATTTCTACGTCGCGCTTTGTAAATACAACGCATAAAGTACAGCGTAGATTTTTAGAAAAATTAACTGTTAATTCATTGAATGTTTTGAACAAATTTGAACTGAGTTTAGTTTTTCCTCTCGTAACTCATAAAATAATTATAATGCGAGCTTTGTTTTTGGTTCATTTTAGGGAAAAGTTTTGCAACATTTCGATCAGTTGAATTATATCGAAGCTTGTCATGAAACTAAACAAATCCTAATTCATATTAAAGTTATCATTATAACTCATTTAGTGCCTCATTAATGTATCAACTAGATGACCATATGGAATGACCCAAAACTTCCAAAAATACAAAACAAATTTCAATAGAACAAACAGTCAGATTTTAACATCTTTGCAGCCTCAACGACACATCCGAAACAAACTCATATCCATATCTCAGCGGCACCGTTTCGACTTATAATTTGGCGCTCGTGCAACCAGCAAAAGTGGCTCCCTTCAAGTTCAAGTTCAGCAGGATGTCGAAATCGAATTCTTCCACGCGGAGCAATTCGGTGGAGACGAACGCTGCTGAAGGAGATAACGAGCTGGAGGGCCTCAGGAGCACCGTTACTACCATAATGGAGAACGCGGACGGGCAGGAGGCGGTGCCCACCAGTCCGCCTCCATCCTACGAATACGTCCTGGAAGAGGCAAGTTTTATTTCTCTCCCAGAAGCAGCGGTTATATTGTAATCGTTTGGTGGTTTCAGACGAGGTTAAAAACGAAGAGCGAGCTCTCATCGCCCACTAATCCGGTGAAAGGGCCGGAAATCATGCACAAATCGAGCAAAGAATTGTACAGGGCTGTAGCCAAGCAGTTCGGAATTACGTGCAAGATGTCGGACCAGTGCAGGTCAGTTTCATTAAATCTTCTAACAGAACCAATTCTTACAAACTTCCTCTTTAATTTGTTCAGTACATCTTCTCTTATATCTCTTTCACTATCATTCCATCTTCAAACTTATCTCTTGTCAAATGCCTGCTGCCTAATGTTAGTTGTCAAATTTAATGTGAGTTGTCAAATGTTAGTTGTTAAATGGATGGAACCATTTCTTCCAAGCTTTGCTTTACCTCCTCTTCAATTTGTCTTCTCTTATACCTTCTTCACTATCATTCCATCCACAGTCTTATCCTCTTAAATGCCAGTTGTCAAATGCCAAATGTCAAATTTAAATTTTGATATACCTTTTTCTGATTTTTGCGCAGGTGTTTCGACTGCCAGAGCAATTACTTCGATTGCGAGTACGAGCAAAACGAGCAGGAGAAAACGGACGGCGGTTTGGGGGCGGGCACGCCCATGTTTATATCCGAAGTGATGCACGGTACTGCTTGTAATATTTTGTAAGATAGATGCTAGTTTGATAGATATAACGGGATATTTTCCGCGAAAGATCGTCGATTCCTATGCGAAAAAGTCGAGCCGAATATTATAAATGTTTCGTGTAGTAAATGTCGTGAATTAAAGGAGAATCTAAGTACCTACATTATATTTGTACAATTACAAGTGAAACGCTTTCCAATGATCTCAATAACATTGTAGGTATGAATACTAATGGGTGTAATTTCGCATCGAGTGTTCGATAAGTGAACTCGAAATTAACAAAAACAGTTAAACCTTCCAGAATTTATTTAGTAAATGTCTTCTTCTTCATCTTCTTTCATTAGTAATTATTTTGTTAAATAAACTTTATAAAATTTTCTATGAGATGAAGTAGCTTTATTATTGAACCAATTGAACAACAATAGGAATTAGAATTCACTAATTTATTGTGTGTAAAATATATAAACTTTAGAATACGGTAGGTTTTAAACGTAATATGTGTGTGTCAAATTGTACATAATTTTGTAATGTTAATTCAAATTAACCACCTTTTATCGGAACTTTCCATTAGGAATCGAAATTGAAGCGTTTGCGGAAAATATTTAATATTGTCATTTATAAACTTTGTTACGACTGTGTAGATTTCCATAAGAATTTGAAAGTAAAATGGTGCTACCCTGTGAATTGAACCTACTTTACACATTAAATTGTTTTCTTTTATAGTCCAATGTTATTAAACTCAGATTAACGCCATTTTATTAATAACCAATAGTGAAAAATTGGGTAAGAAAAAGCTTGATATTGTGAACAAACTTTATATAAATTTTTGACTAACTGACCTAAAAGGAAACGGTGCTACAATATTCTGTAAGCTCTAATATGTATACTACTTATACATGAATTAGAAAGTAAGATAAACGCAAATGGCCCGTCGCGTTTTATCCAGCCAAATTGACAATTAACTATGAGATTGGGATAAAACGTGGGAATTAACCCCTACAAGAAATATCTACAGTTAAGGTTTTAATGCCGGAGTGTTTAGGTTCAAATGACGATACAATTTATTTTATAACTTGAATGGGAAACCCAAATGTTCCTAAAACTGTCCTAACTATGATTGATCGTGTCTTAATAGTAACTTTTATTCAAGAAAAGTTGATAAAAGTATTCCATATTTTGAGCGTCATTTGAATAAACACTTTCCTGGCATGGTCTATACAGGGTTGTCTTCAAAATTATGAATAAAATTTGATATCACTAAATTGAATTAACTGACGGAGGTTTTTCCTTTTACATGAAATTTTGCTAAGGAGTAAAAAGATAATTAGATAATAGTCATATTTTGGCCTATTTGTTGTACATTTATACTTCACATTTTATCAGGTTACTCTGGTAGATTAGCTAGAACAATTTCGACATGTAGTGGAACCTATTTCTAATCCATAAAGCAGTCCACTCCGTGTCTGGGTGCCTAATTTATTAAAATAACGGAAGGAAACAATTACAAAAAGCACAACTTTTCGTTTAGTTCATAATGTTTATATACTCGCGTACGAGGATCATCCGGCAATTAAACGCAAACTGATTTTTCTACGTTCCTCAACATCACATCGAAATTGCGACTTGTCGGACGAACCTCGTACATCTTGTTGTACATACATAGAAATAAATAATTTATAAATATGGGGTGACAGTAATATTAGGGTACACTTAAAAATTTTATGAATTATTCTAGTAATATTCCTCCTTTGTCTCACCGAGCAATTTTTCAAGTGTGACCTATTATAGACTTCATCTGAATAAAATTAACTGGTTTTGACTCGAGATGAGAGTATATTTGTAACAAGTCCGAGTCAAAACGAATAGTATATCGACCACTTTCAGCAATTTTAAGGTCTATTTACCAATAGGTCCATAGCATTGAGTTGGAATCCCAAAGAACCCTTTATTGGCCCTTAATTTTTATAACTAAATGGAGGATACTTGGTATAAAAATACTCCCAAGCCCTGACTGAAATTAATTCGATTTTGAGTCTAGAAAAGTCTTGCTACTCTGGTGGAATATAAAAAAAACTTTATACAATTTGTGTACATATTTAATCTAGCCATAGAGTTTCTTTGGGATAATAATTTAATGGTCTTTATATTAGAGAAATTAGATTAGTTTGCACTGGTTTGCTATTATTTATTAACAACAGAAGAAACGAGGATTAAAGAGAAGGCTGGTTTCAACAGGTCCAAAAACTAAGGAATTTCTTTATATTATATTATTATATTCGTGCCAAATCTTGCGTGTTCATCGTTCATTTTAATAGTCGCAATATTCCTGATTTTCACTTCGATTTCGTTACTGTGGTGGTTTAATTAAACGAAAAAAAAAACGTATTAATGGAAGAATCTTCAAGTCCTCAGCAATGAGACTCTCGTCAAAAGATATATATTTTAATATAGGTTAATTAAAAAGCACTCAAAATTGTGTCTATATAACTTAACAGCACTCATATTTTTGTTAACTTTGCAAATATACACTTTATATACATGTGACATATTTGTGTAAAAAAAATAATAAATTTCATAACGTGTACGAACAGCTTCTTATTTCTCTTTAGATAGATAGTACTA